ACATTTGTCATGTTATCAGCGTGGATGAAAACAGATCCAAAGAAATCTGTGGAAGAAAGAATGGCCGAAACATTCACCGAGTCGGGTGTTTCTATCACAATCACTTCTCTGACTAATGTTGCATCGTTTCTAGTAGGAATATTCATTGCCACTATTCCTTTGTATAAGAAAGTTTGCTTGTTCATGGCAGCGTGTTTGATCTTCGACTACATTTATCAAATTACCTTTGTTGCAGCGATTTTGGTTTTCTGTGGAAAAGCGGAAGAACAACATTTGCATTCGTTGGTATTTATGAAGTTTCCAGGTAAAGTAATTTTGACGATATTAGCGGTAAATAATTCTCGCCAAAGGTTTCAAGCTATTAATAATAAAATAATACAAAAGATTTTTTAGTTTCTAAAAAACATTGAACCCAATTAAATACTAACAATTAGGTTTAGTTGCAATTTATTAGTTGTAATTTATTTAACAACGACGTTAAATTATGAGTAAAATGCCATGTCAAGAACAAAGTATTCTGTTTATTGCTGTAATGTTTAGCGGATCCACCTCCGAGAAATGAAACGTTTAAAAGCAGTCATCAGTCATATCGGATTTACCATAGCAATTTTTTCTAATTGTGATAACTGTGTACGAAGAAAACTATTATCTTAAGACATATCCAGAGCTCCCAACTTGTACGAGTAAGTGTGGAAAAAGCTGATATTACAAAAAAATAAAACAATTCTTACGTTTTTCCAAACAAGCTTACAGCCAAAATTTTAATGGAAATAAAGAGGTTTTGACAATTCTGGTGGGGTTATGTAAAATAGAAATGGTAAAATAAATTGTTAAACATAAGATTATTTTAACATATCCGTTTGGTACTTTTTATCATTTTGTACGCTTTAAACTAACACATATAGTGTACTGTACATCTCCAGGAAAAAGTTTACGAACTATAGTAGCTATGAGAAAGTTATTGATTACAAGGATTTTTTTTATTTGTTAACAAAAATTATAGAATAATAGAAAGTTTGAAGTTTATTTCTAATAATAAAAGCTTTCAGTATGCAAAATATCACACACTGTAAAATAATTCGGAAAATAAAAAATCCTAGTGTGGAAAAAGTTTTCGAACACAGTAAAGAAAATCAAAGGAAAATTCTTTACTATTTTGTCGTGCCTCCTTTGGCGTAAATTACAGCTTTAATGTGGGACGGCACTGATTTAACAATTTATGAACAATAGTCGTCATTAATTTTTTTCAAGTGCGCAACAAAGCAACTTCCAATTCTTCCTTTGCGGTCGGTGGTTTTCATCCACTTACGTGTTCAGTTTAGCCCACACACTTTCGATAACAATTCAATTAGAGATATTTGATGGACAAAATAAAGTTTTATTGTTTCTGCTTTTCAAAAATTCTTTTATGTTTATCGTATGTTAACGACTTTCATTATCATCCTGGAAAACAACTTGTTCATCCTCAAATTGATTTTCCACCATAGGAATTAGAAGTATCCAAAATTTCTTCGAACCAATGATTGATTCTCCCCAATGATTCTGGTCCCGGTCTGGGGATCCCGCTGTAGGATATGTGGGCGATGATTGTCGCAGAGAGTTCTTTTAACACATTTCTCTCAACATTCAAGATTTTCTTTTTCTATAATCTGAATTATTTTTCCAGTGTGATATTTTGCATGATAAAAGCTTCATCTTTAGAAATAAACGCCACAATTTTTATTACTTTAGGATTATATGTTAATAAATAAAAAATTCCCGCAATCAATAACTTTCTCATAGCTGCTGTTCGAAAAGTTTTTCAGTGGTTGTAGTACAGTACAACGATTCCCAAATGTAGGGTTAAGACCTGAAGTTACCTATCATTATACTGAAAGTTTTATGACATTAAAAACCGACTTAAATTTTTATTGTTAAACAGATCCACTTTTTGGAATTTTAGTCGAATCATCCTTTAAGTCGATTTCGTTTACATTGTGTTGTTTACGATGACTTTGTCATTTAAACTGCCTTAAAATGTAGAATGTGAATAGGGTCTCCTTAACGTCCGGTCCCGAGAAAACTCGGGCCTGTTACATAGCGTTACGAAAAATTCGGTAGTTAAGGTCACTTTTGACAATTTTTTTTTGAATTTTTGGAATGTTTTTTAAGTCCCCAAATTTTTTCAAAATTTTTTGCCCGCGTTAAAAAATTTTATCGCGATTTTAATGAGCCTTTGATAAGGCTCGATTAAGGCTTAATTGTTTTTTAATGGGAGTTTTTTATCAATTTTATTTCATGGTTCCTAAGTTGTAGTGCACGGATTTTCCTTCGGTAAAGTTATTTAAAGCTGCTTTCTGATGTCAAAAACGACCTCCAATAGTTTTTTAATTTTTTTAATTAATCAATTTTTTTATAGGCTCCTGTGTCTGTTAACCAGGACACAGGGATGTAATTCGGATGTGGCATTGAAGAGGTGCCAACCCCATGGTTACACCAATAACAGATGAAAGATTTAAATGTCAACTTGTGTACAGGGTTCCTACTCAAATTTCTGTTTTGAATTCCCTGACTTTCCCTGACCAACTTTGTCCAAATTCCCTGACCCTCACATTTTTTAGTGTGGAATATCAACATAATAAAACAGCATTTACTGTTAACATTGAGTACATTTAGCCCTCTTTTTGCACAGTTGATATGCTTCAAAGACTGCCACATTAAAAAAATACAGTACATACATCCTGTAGAAAAATGTTTGATAGAATCCACAACTTCAATGTAATGAAAAAATAAGCAATTTACAAACAAAACACAAGCTTTTTATTTTATCATCATTTATCATTATTATTTGTATGTAAATCTAGTAAATACAAGGTAACATAAAATCAACAAAAATTATTCTTTGATAAACAAATAGTACTGTACTGTGCTTAAAATGAACTCTTGA